CTTGGATGTTACTCTTTCTTTCAACCTTGGTTACTGGAGTACATGCTGCAACCACTTCACCTTTCTTAATAATTCTCCCCTTCTCAGTTACATTGGCGACTCTCACCGGGATAACCGTTCTGGATAGGTCGACGAGTGTTGAGGCTACTAGTACTCCTTTTGGGCTATTACAGTTATTAGGATATTCTATGATGCCGTAGCGGAAATTTCTGTTTTCGGCTATGGATCCAGGAAGTAAATTTCTGTTCTTGCCGGTATTGTGATATTGTCTTGTGCTATGATTTTATGGACAGATTTAACTTCATCATTGACTCCAAATAACGCTATGTCCTCAGATGTAGAATGCAATTCGTTATTTTTTAAGTCTAAAAAAAAATTGTATTTCCTTAGAAAGTCCAATCCGAGTATACAAGAATCAGTGATCTCTGCTACATATGCCGTGTGATGGTAAGCGGCACTTTCAAAGGTGATGTTAGCATTTACTTTTCCATCGATGTTGATCTTCTCACCGGACACAGTCTGTAGGGTAACGCAGGTCGGCGTCCAGATAAGTTTGCTTCCCAGTTGTTGAGCCAAATCTTTTCGGATGATGGTAACGTTGGCTCCTGTATCTATTGTCATATTGCAGGGAACTCCATTAATATCTCCTATTATGAAAAGTCCATTACTGCCGCCTCTCACTGCAGAAATCTGAAGCGCTTTAAACTGGGGCCTTTTCATGATCTGGCAACCTCCGCCCCGCGAGATGGCCACTAATTAGTTTCCCTGCTGTTTGTTAGGAGCGGTCTTAGCATCCGTAACCTGGGGTGTTCTGCAGTTTCGTCGTATGTGTCCTTCAGCACCGCAGTTCCAGCACTTTACGGTCGGTTTCTTGTCACCAATATTCTGTCTCAAGGCGTTCAGTTGTCTAGTTAAATCGTCTAGACGAGCAGTGACTTGATCCCCTGGCTCCTGAACTTGAGCAGCTCTGACTGGATGGCGGTCTCGATGGGTGGCTTGCTGGGCTGCCTCAAATTTCATGGCATACACTAAAGCGCTTTTCAGATCTTTAACATCCGCCATTCGCAGTGCTTTCTGTATTTCAGGGTCCCGGATGCCATCGATGAAATATTGCAGGGACAGGATTTCCCTTGTTTCTGTCGGGCACTCCGAAAAGGCGTGATGTGACAGCCTTTCAACATCCGTGGCGAGCTCCTGAAGCATTTCGGTGAGCTTCTGTTGACGAGATTTTAATTGGAGCCTGCTGTAGTCTTTTAAACATTTCTCGCTGAAGCACAGCTCCAAAGCGCCGGATAGAGCTTCGAAATCTAGCCTTTGATTTTCGGGAAGCGTCTGCAGGATATCCGCTGCATCTGCTCTCAGAGAAGCGGCGAGATGACAGGCCTTAGCTTGGGAATCCCATCCATTCGCATCCGCAACGATAGAAAATTGTGTCCTTATACACCTGCCAGGAGGTCTTCCCATCATATGTCGATAGTTTCAGAACGGAACGAGCAGGCATCGATAAAAATTTGAAACCTTCAGAATTGTTTCCTACCGTCGCTATGCACTTCTTTAAAGCTGTCAACTTCTTTGGTGATGGCAGCAGAAACCCTATCATCAATTTGTTGTTCGGCGGCAGAAACTCTTTCTTCAATTTGTTGTTGGAAGGCTGAAACTCTTCCTTCGACTCGTTGCTCCACGTAGCAGACACTCTATCTTCTATTTCATCTTTGACAGAAGAAACCTTTTCTTTCAATTTGCTCCGACTTCATTTTTGACAGCTCCTATTCTGTCTTCCATAGCCTTAAATTTACTTTCTATTACGCAGGTTATTTCTCTTTTCATTTCGTCTTGACCTGCCTCAATCTTTTCTTGTAAAGTTTTATGTCTTCTTTAAAGTTACTTGACCAGCTTCCAACTTTTCGTGAACGGCTTCCATTTCCTTTTTAACGGATTCCGGGCCCAATCTCTCCTTTAACGGATCTTGGCCCAATTTCATTTCTTCCTTAAATGCAAGCAAAGGCTGATATCAGCTGTCTTAACTGCTCTTCCATCGCTCTTGTGATTGGCATTCAAACCCCACTCCTGACACCAAAAATTGTTGCGTGCGTACGGGTTCGTTACGAAATGAATGCACAAGTCTGATGAAAAATGAACAAAATATTTTTATCATCACAACAAAAATGCTTAAACCTTCTCAAATTATCATGCAGTATTACAATATCTCACGGTAGTAATCTTTTAACTACTCAAATGTCCAATAGAACGTAATTCAAAACAGCTAAAGAAAGCTAATCCGTGAATTCGCTACAATCAACAAGAGCAGTTTTCTAAACAACAACAAACTAAGCAACTACCACAAACTGAGATGTTTTTCTTATTTTATAAGATTTTAAAATCACGCGCTAGAATTTTCCAGCACTTTCTCGAAATCAAAAAGAGATATTTATTTATTTAACACACGCGCTCTTGTATTTTTAATTTTTCCAACTTAGCTTTCTTTTAATATTCGTCACGCGCTGCACTGCGCGAGAAATAAAATCATTTAATTTATAATTGAACTAACATTAGCTTTTTAAATACGAAATTTGTAACAATATAATAATATTTGGAAATGTAGCACTGTTTGGTGATTTTTCCAATATTTCAAAGCATTATTTTCCAAGTCTCCAAATTTCAAAGCATTATTTTCCAAGTCTCCAAATGATTATCAGAATGAAAACATAAAATAATAAATGAACAGAACACATGCAAATTTTAATTTGAATCCATTTATTTACACATTTTTTTTACTTATACAGTACAAAGTTCGTAATCCGGACGTCCATTATCCGGAATGATCTATAATCCGGACCCCAAAGCCACAAACTTACGCATGCACGTTTAATGCGCACATCCGCTACGCAAGCACGTAAAGCATTTACCCATACACGCTTCCGATAGTGAAAAAAGTGACAGAGAGCTTATTGAAAACGAAAAAATTTCTATTGACAAGTTAGTCGGTATTCTTGACACAGCAATTACAGGACTTGAACATCGGAACTTTGTAACTGAACAAGAAATTATGTCTGTTTATAGAATTAAAGAGAAAGTATTAGCACAGGGAAATGAAGCAACTTACAACAAATTTCATTGAAAGAAATGTTTAATAAAGTAAACAAAGAAGCATATTAAGCTTGATTTTTATTTTTATTTTATTTTTTTTTTAATTTTGATACCCTTTAGATCATAATTGCTCTTTATTTCAGAAATTACAGTTTCATATTTTTAATTGTATAATTTCTGCATACCACCTTTACCAGTTTAAATTGGTGATCTATAATCCGGAAAAACACCTAATCCGGAATCGCCAAGCCAAAGTCCCGATGAGTCCGGATTATGGACTTTGTACTGTATTAAGATCCTCAATAAAACCCAACTTTTAGTTGCAATTTCTACAACTTTTTCTGATTTTTAATGACCAAATGGAATAACTTAATTGACCAAATCTAATGAGCACATTAGCTCATTATGCTTGGTCAGAAAATAACTGAATCAAAAAATTATTCAGCTATTCAAATTAAGTATGAATGCTGAATTATTTTATAAATTTAAAACAATGCTGAATCATTTTTTAAAAATTTAAAACAATGCTGAATCATTTTTTAAAAATTTAAAACAAATTAAATAAATATGGCTAAGAATATTATAAAAATGTAATTTATGCTACGCATTGCTGTGAAGCAAAGAAAAGAAACCTATAACAGAAATCTGTATCTAAACCTATTCAAAAAAGTAAGTCAATTTTTTTTAAAAAGAGAAACATCAAAATCTGGAAAAATAATTGTTTATTCTTTAAAAGAATTTTTAACATTACATCATTCACAATAAATATTTTTCTTGCATTGTTACACAGGGATTAATTAAAATAGTTCCATATTATAATATTTAACCACATCGTATTCTGACTTTTAAATTACATTATTTATTTGTGGGGGCCCAATTACACCTCCAAAGAGAAGGGTAAAAGAGAATTTACAATATTTATATACAAAACACCTAACTTATAGGTGGAAAAGAGTACAATGGACTAATAAAACTAAATACTAATAATACCAAATCAAGAGAGTTTCCCCCCCCCCTCCTCTTGAAAAGAAAAGACCACAGTAATTTTTTGATTTCCTTTCTTTAAAAAGAAGCAGTTTTTATTTATTGCAGACTATTTAATACATGAATATTATATTTATTAAAAGGATTGAACTATATTATTTTTGGGAGAGGAGGAAGTTCCAAATTTGTTTAAAAAGCTGCTTTTTAGCAATCAAAAACTTCAGTTAATAATGAAATGATTTTTCCACATTATCAATACGAACTTAAGAACTAATTTTAACCGATGCTACTTGTTTTGAATACGCAGAATAAATTTTTTCAAACCAATCTTGAGATCAATATTGGCAAATCTTCATTGTTAGTATAATGCACATGCCAAGGATAAACAGAATATCTTTTATGATATAAGCAGGAAAACTAAGTTCATATGAATGTTTTGTTGTTAAAACAACTGGTAAATAAAAAACAAATAAATACTCATTCAAGAAGTAGTGAATTAGTTTTATATCAGTTTTAATAAATGGTCTTAAATGAAGTATGACTTATTTTTAGTCCTACATTCTTACTCACTTTCATTAAATCAATCAGTCATTGCTAAAGTCACAAAAATTTATTTGAAAATAACATTTTCTGAAAACATACCAAAAATACTTTTCTTCAATAACTTACCAACTCCATTTCTTCAAAAATACAGTTAACTTCACAATGTTTTTATGTTTTCTTAAATTTTAAATTTTAATTAAAAATCTTTTTAAAAACCATGATATCCCTCAGTAATAAATATATACCTCATTGAATAAAACATGTCACAAGTAATATTTATATCTATAACTTGTTTTATTAAATATCTTGAAATATTCATCTCTAAGTGAATAAATTAATGAAGTTGCTTAACTAATCAAAATATCTGAATTTAAGAATAAACATACTTCTAATGAATCTTCAATTTTTTTTACAGCTACAGAAAACCATTGTTCTTCCACAACATACTGCTGAGGATGATCAGGACTTGGTAACCTAGCTCTAGGATCATAATAATACAGATGATATTCGTCGCTAGATTGCTGAGATTCACTAGCTTCACCATTTATGTCAGCACTGGGTCTGAAAACAATCACACATACTTAAAATCTTTGCACATCTGAAATTCCACACATGTAAGGCATACAGAATCAAATGCATTAAAACAGAAGAACTCACAACTGCGAGAATAGTTACTAGGCAACTTTAAAAAGGTCTTCCAAAATAAAAACTCTAAATAGAACTTTATCATGATTATGAAAGCTAAATTTAAAATAATATAAGCATAATTTTTCAATTATAATATTTTTAAATGGTTATTTTAATATCAGGATGGTTTTACAGATATAAACATTGCATGTATTTTTTAAAGATAAAAGTGTTTTTAAAAAGGTTTTAAGAAAAGAATAGCTAATAAAAATTAGTTTAATTATTTGGCTTTAGAAATTTCCTAAACCATTTTAATATTAAAAAAAAAAATTCCTTATTTTTCAGTGCTCAGCTGTTTTTAACCAAAAATCATATTTGAAATTTTTATTATAAACACACATTAAAATAATAAATCAGATACATAATACAAAAATACACAAAAAAATTTTAATTTAGAAGCATTAAGAGCTTTAAAAAAAGGGGATCATGTAAATTTAAACTAATATACATATTGAAACTTTTAAATTAACACAAAAGTAGCTAATATTTAAACCTTGTATTCAGCGAGATAGTAGAAATTCACTACTTAACAACTATAAACAAAATTTTTCAATCATTGTAATACTCTGTGGTTTAGGAATTAAATTTCAGTTTATTAAATAAAGGGGGCCAAGAACATAGAATTATCTTAAATATACCTATTTATCAAACTTCAAACATTTTAACAATCTCCGATAGTTGTTATAACAGATTTTTTATGCACTTGAAATTTTTTTAAAAATTACTGCTCAAAATAGGCCTCCGTTACTTCTGATGTTGCAAATCAATACTGCAATCATATTAATTTTGGTTAAATTAATAACTATGTAAAAATTTAGAAGCTGATAGGATATTATGATAATTTAGCAATATAAAAGTACTTAGACATACAAAAATTTTATTTGAGATCAAAATATCATCAATGCATGGCATGACTCAAATTGATTATTATCATCATTCTTCAAATATAATTTTATTATACATATAAAATAAAAATACCCAACATGTGATAATTTTTCAGTTATTAGAATAAATTTTTACAAAAAGGAAGATAATATTAGGAAAAACAAGAACATAATTATCAGGGCAATAAGCTGATCTACTTCTTTTATGTTAACTATTAGCACAACAGCTGTTATCACAGGGAATAAAATATGCTATCAGCATTCATGTGATTCGGAGAAATGAACATTTAATATAATTAAAGCAGAGAAAAACAATAACAAAACAGTAAAAGGAGTTTTTACCTTTAATTCTTTTCACAACATAACCAAAAGTAAAAATTATATATACTGCCACTCGCAATCTCACTGAAAAACTGGTAGAATGAAAAGATAATCATTAAAACACTTAGTTCGTTAAAACTTTAGATGTGACATACTCCCACCTTAAATTGTCAGGAGCCAAATTAATACAAATGGAACATATTAATGTTTTAAAAGTTTTCACCAATCTCTGGGGGGGGGGTGAGGCTTTATTGTTTAACCAATCTGGGTTACAAGCTTCTTCATATTTGGGTAGGTTAGTCTGCTGTCCACTAACATTACCTTCATCCACATCTTAAGTTCCTCCATTTCTCACAGAGTTTTCAAGTGCTGCTGAACAGGCTTCAAAAGAAAATATTCTCTGTACTGGCCTTAAGCCTCTCTTGATGCAAACTAATCTTGTTACCTCTACCAGAAAGCAACTCCTTTACAAGACCCAATGTTATTCAACAGATTTTATACCATCATTTCCGATTAGTATAATGTCACAGAGTCTGATTTGCTGACTTTTCCTCATATTTATTTCTTTGAATTAGTCCTAAATATTCGGATCTAAAATCCTTTCTTACTATACCATTTTTTTTTATACTTTAGCCTTTTTGTTGAGAGAATTTTCATGAATTTGATCACAGTCTGAATGTCAGTTTGACAGAAATCAATTAAGAATGAACTCAGGGATACAGCAAAATATTCACTTTCATTTTCTGAAAGGTAAGCGAGCGTTATGGTTTAACAATAGATTCTATGTCACATAAAAAGATTGACATATCTTCGTAACAAAGCAAAGGCTTTCCTAATACTTTCCTGAAAATTTGCTTTATAACAGCTATCAACCATTCCCCAAAACCTCCCCACTAAGAAGCAGCTGGGGAGCTGAAAAACCACTGAATCCCTTTCGTTGTGCTATACTGTGAAATTTCATTCCAATTCATGAATTGTAAGTTGTTAAATGCTCTCACAAAATTTGTGCTGTTATCATAGAGCAATCACGAGCAAGGGTCGAGAGCATATCACGAGCAAGGGTCTGCCTCTTAACGCAGTAAATCGACAGAAACTCTGGAGATATGTAACTGTATTGAGATGACAAAAGTTCAAAATGTACCACATGATAAATGGCACAACAAATATTATAGATAATTGTCAGAACAACCACTATACCTGATTAAATTTACTCCTTTCAAAAACTGATCTAAAAATTATATATATACTCTATAAAGTGAGCACAGAATTTAAATATCTGAGATCATTAAAACTGTAACTCTCTTAGATATAGGGCAGAATATACTTACTCATGGATTTAGATTAATTTGTGTGGATTTCACCTAAATAGGCTATAATAGAATAAGCTTAAAGTCTTTCGTATGTAAAAATTGTGATTGCAATTATACCATATATATATAAGACTTACTTAATTTAATTCCCTAAACTGTTAAGTGATGTAAAATAATTTTATCATTATAAACTTTTATCATCATGTAAGTTTTAATATTTCATATAGTATTTTACAGTGCTGATACATGATCAGAATACAATGTTTATTTATAAAAGTATTACTGCAAAATATTATTTGAATTAGTCTAGAAACTCAAATTATTATTAACAACAGTTCTAAAACTCTCTAGCAATAAGGCTATGAATGATTTAAGTAATAAGATTATTATTAATACAATTTTAATTGTTTGAGTAGAATATCAAAATAACTCTGCAAAGAAAACAACACTGAGATTTAAAAGTTTGGGAAGACAACAGTCTTCAAACTGCACTCTATGAATCCTATACTACTGTAAGATTTTCTCAAAACAAAAATACGAAAAAATTATTAAATATTACATTGATTGAAAGCTAAACATGTGAAATTTTTAATAAAAAATACTTTTTTTCCATTCCTATTTTACCAGAAATAATATAAAATAGATTTTTCTTTTTGACTGCTGCTACACAAATCAAGGAACTTTGACAATAAGATTATTTATCTGTTTGCAAGACAGTCCATGCATTTCTTGTGTCCACTAATTACATAAAGAACTATAAATTTAGGGGGTTAATTAAAACATTATTTTTCATTTAATTATGAGCATCAACAAGCCAGACTGTGGTAACTTGTATTCTAAGAAAACAGATTCAAAGTACACCTCTGTTTTATGTACAAACCTACTATTATGTTGGGGAGGAAAGATATGAGAAGTTTAGCTAGCTAGAGCATATCCTAGAATTTTGAGAGCATAACTAAGTCAATAAACATCTAACAAAATTGCAAGGTATTGCAATTTTATCACTAGCTCTTCAAATTCTGCAGCCAGAGATAAGTTTAAAAAAAATTAACAATCAGGAATGAAATGATTTTACAATCGCTTCTTTCTTTCGATGCAGTGAACTGCATCCACACTATTTTTCTTCCTAAATATGTGTACGTGTACCATATGGTTTGATTCTTGTGATGACATCTGAATCTTATAACTATGTATTTGTAAATAATTATACAGTAGTTAAATTCTCTTCAGATTTTTTTTTATTTGTCCAAATATTAAATTAACTTTATTATCTAATAATTTTACAATTAATTTTTTCAACTTTTAAAAAATTTTTTGTAAAATTTTGTAGATTAATATTTTTTTAGAATGAATGAGTGGTTGTAAGAACTGGGAAATTCAATGACAGTAAATGAAATAACAATGACAGTAAATGAATGACAGTAAAATAGTTATTAATAATAAGGAAGCAAAGATATTTTTTTTTTTTCAAAACGTTTATCTACCATAAAAAGAGAAAAATACGATGAAGACTATTTAGGATTTGGCTTCATATGAATAGGAAACAAAGGTGAGCCAAATGGACTGAATGATGGATGTGTGTGTGTGTGGGGGGGATTTGTAATACTGGCTTAAATCTTGTAAAATTAAAAAAGACATGTGGGGTATAATCATCAGCATTTACATAATAAAAATACTCAATACTTTTAACATAAACATTGGAGAGGTCATTTTCAAAATATATGCATTTTGTCAATACAACATTTTTTCAGACTTTTTTCAGTTACTTAAACTGTTGAAGAATGAGAGGCATAGAATTAATACATATAGTAATAACAAATCCATATATCATAGTTGCAATACCTTGCAAATTTGATGAAAAATATGCTAAACTGCTAAAGAAATTAATGCTAACAAAATTGATAGCACACAACTATGATATTACAGTCATTTGATGAAATGAGACAGTGGCACTGTTAAGTGAAGACGAATTAATATCCCATTTAAAAGCTCCTCAACATTTTATGATGCAGCTGGATGAATTAACAGAGCCTTTTAGTAAGACTAGTAACTTAGTAACTACAGTCCAAGAAGATATTCTTTTTGTAAAGCATTTGCAGACAGGACAAGCAAAGGAAAAAGTTTTCAGCTTATTTACAAATAGATGAATGAACAAGGAGTTATCTTGGGATTTACCTTTGCATATTTGTATGAAGAGAGCAAAAACATCACTGGGTCTAAACAAAAAGGCTATAATAAGAATATTTGCAACTGCCCCACACATGGAAAAAGTTACCCCCCACATACAAATTGGCTTCCTCACAGCACTCTCACAGTAAAACAAATAACAAAAAAAGTAAAAGAGATTTTCAGATGACACAGTAAAATTTACTTATAAATTTTAATAAATTCAGAGAATTTGATATTTACTTTTTTATGTGATGAATTATCTAGCAATCATACTGTAACATAGATATTTTTTAAAACAAAGACTAACATGATTACGCTCAAAGACAAGATGATTTTAATTTGTGATCTGTTAGGGACACATTTTTGTCATTTTAAAGAAAGGTAATACATCCTTAATAGACCTAAGATGTATATTATTAACAAAAAATTAATGAAATGCTTTTAGAATTAGATATTTTAACATCATGTCAAAGTTTGTCATAGATCATAGTTTTAGATTTGAGTTACAGTGTTAAAAGATGCATATTAAAATAGACTTCTCAGCTAAAACAAATTATTTAGTTCTCAGACAAAACTCACACAAAAGGGTTAGATTAAAAATCTATTTTAGAATTACAATGTATGTGGTTACTTGCTAATGAATAAAAGAGAGTGTTTAGTTGATTTTTTACAGACTAAACATTAAAAATTATTTATCAGCAAAAACTCCTTAATTTTTGGTTATGAATTCATATATAGCATTCTTAAATATTAATTTAAAAAAAACACTATACAAATCTTAATGCCTAACATAATTTTCAAATTTTGTAGCAGCAAAAGTAAAACACAGAAATAATAATGAATGTGAAAAGAGCTTACAGCATCAACAAAACGAGACTTCTTTATTTTGCATTAAAAAAATGCAGGCATATATGCTCAGTAAAAGTTATAATCAAATAAACCAGACTTTTCAATTAATATAAAATGTAAGCAACATTGTATATTTTTAATGCTTTATGTATATATATATATATATATATATATATATCAGTCAAAAGTTGTTAATTCGGACACCCATAATCCAGACCTCAAAGCTACAAACTTTCTGCGCATGCGCGCAAGACCTTTACGGCTGCGAATATGCATGTGCGCGTGCACAAAATACGTTTACGAATGCACGCTTAATGTATAACGGATGGTATAAGCTAAGCTAAAATTATCTAATTCAGTTAATGTTGCAGATTGCGTTGTTCCTTAATCTTCGAATTGGATTCGGCTTATTATTTTTTGCAGACTGTTAGAGCAATTTTATAAAAGTAAGCTTGAACTTTTGATATGTCAAATAGAATTTCTGATATATATTTACTAATATGCAATGGATCTACAAAGCGAAAGTATGTTTCGAAATCCATTAAACAAAAAGTGGAATTGCTGCAAAAAATGGATAAAGGTATATCCTTTGTTTATCTAAATTTTAATGTTTGTTTACCTAAACTTTGTTTATCTTTAATGCTGCGCAATGAATTGGAAGTGATCTGTCAGCACTATCCTTATCTTCAGGGCAGATGTTTTTATTTTATTTGGCTTATAATTCCTTACTAAATGTAGTATTTCATCTCGATGTACTCCGTCTTTGATATGATTTAAATCAAATTCCTCATCATTATAATTCGCTTCCGATAGCAAAGAAAGTGACAGAGGTTATTGAAAATGAAAAATTTTCGATTGAAAAATTAGTCGGTATTCTCGACACAGCAATTATAGGACTTGAACAGTGGAACTTTGTAACTGAACAAGAAATTATGTCTGTTTATAGAATTAAAGAGAATGTATTATCACATTAAAAATGAAGCAACTTAAATAACTTACATTGAAAGAAATGTTTAATAAAGTAAACAAATAAATATTAAGCTTTTTTTTTTTGTGTGTGTGTGTGTGTGTGTGTGTAAATTTTGATACCCTTTGGATCTAATTGTTCTTTATTTCATAAATTACGGTTTCATTTTTTTAATTTTATAATTTCTGCATGCCATCTTGCCAGATTTAAACTGATGATCTATAATCTGGAAAAATCCATAATCCGGAATCGCCGAAGTCCCGACTTTTGACGATGATTAACGACTTTTGATTGTATATATTAATTATATATATTATGCAGAAAAGACAAAAATGCAAGATATACTGGAAGGTTATCAGCAGAGTCAACCAAGATAATTTGTGATTTAAAAAAAAATCATTATCTAACTATTATAAAACTGATAAAAAAAATCACTGTCCGATTATTCTCAAAACTATCAAAATTAACATTTTCAAATTTGGTTTGCAATAAGTACTTCACATAATAAAGACATATGTTTGCATAGTAAAGATTTTACCTCAGTATTGAAAAAAAATTTATTTTGAACTACTAATATATTTCAATGAGTGGAATTTTAAAAATTGAACTATCACTGGTTATTCTAAGATTTGTTAGCAATATTTATTGGTTCTTCGTCCAATGTGAATCGATCAACACCTTACAAATACACTGATACCTATAAATATATTAAATATTTACATTTTACATTCTAGACCACGCAAACGGAAATTTCTGGCTCATTGTTTAAAAAATTTTACAAGAACTTCACTGTCAGGATACTTTTGTAAACTGCTTCATATAAAATGGATTATTATCATGGATACAGCATAACATACTTGTTAGAAAAATCACAAAAACTAAAAAAGTCATATAACAAATAATTTTGCAGCTAACTCACACAAGAACTTTATTTTGCCACGTCTGACATATATTTAAATTACAGAATTACCTATTTCTGTAAAAAAATAATGCAAATAATTTTTTCAGAGAGACACAGAAAAAAAAATAATAACAGTGTAGGTCATCCATCACCGATATTAGAATAGTTTTATAGAATAGTTTCTATGCTGTATATTAGAATGTCCAAGAGTTCCTGCAGCAAAAATATGTACTTAGAATGAACCGCATCTTGAAGTTCCTAGAAAGTGCTAGGTGGGAGCTGCAGTAATGTAAGCTGGTGTCTTAGTGTCCCACATATGTTGTATTGGATTTAAACCTATGCCATATTATAAACATATGGATTGTTCCCTCTGCTGAATTCTTTTACCATCAAGATCATCAATCACTAATGCAATGCGACGGAAATGAGGATTATTGTCCATTAGAAGAAATTTATTATTGATTACACTTCTAAACAACTTGACATACGAATAAAGAACCTCATCCTTCAATATATTAGCATTCATATTTGCAATAGTAAAAATGTGCAAGTCAGTGAGTCAATTCAGAACCATACCTGCTCATACCATGATTCCATCACTTTTATACTGATTCCTTTTATGGATTTTTGCATATTTATTGCGTGTATTTTGCTCCATCCAGATTGTAACATGTTTGAAATCACTCTGCAAACAAAACCAGACTGTAGTATTCCAATCATGAAGATCTTTGCACCACTGCAACTGAACGCATTTTGCAGCCTGTTTGAGTTAGTGAGTCACTAATCATGAATGTCCTTTACAACACAGCCCTATCACTCATGGTACATTTGGAAGCCCAATAAGTCTTAAAGAAGCATGGCGAGAGTGCAGCTACAATTGCCTTTCGAAAAACTCACGGTTGATTTAATTAATTCAATTACAACTTAACATAAATAGTGAAACAACCTTACTCTCATTTGAAGATAAAGTGGTTTATAATTGCAACCAACATCTTGGTTAACCATGACAGTCAGAGATGAATAATGTGAAGCACTGATTTTCAACTTAGGAAAAAGTTTTGCTTTAATTAAATTGGCATATAAACACTTCTTATTTGCCACATTTATAAAAAAAAGATATTAATGTTTTATGTAAAAGATATTTTTTATATATAACACTAATGATTTAAACATCTATTACACATATATTAAAAATAATCCCCCAAAGATTTAAATCCTTTACATTTTCAAGTAATGAAGTATATAATACATTTAATGATGGAAAATAATATATTTTGATATTTAATATTTATTAGAGTTAAATACCTGGTTGAAGAAACTTTAGGTACATTATGATGTGTTGAATTAGACATCCCAGAATCAGCCATCTTCAAATCACTGCTTTTACCTTTGTCACTGTCATCTGGTACAGATTTGCTAGTAGAAGGTTGCACAGAAATCTTACAAGTGTCAATTGGAGCTTTAGCTCCATCAGAGTCATCTTGAAGACTTTCTTGCGAGTTCCACAATTCATTTGTAATGACCACTTTGGCTGTCATTCCTTGATTATGAAGTAAATGCTCATTTTGAGCTGAAGATCTCACTGAACAGGATTCAACCAGAGCCTCAGCTAGAGCTTCTTGCTCATTTTCACAGAAACCTTCACTGCTCAGTGAGCTGCGATTACTATTCAGTTTGAGCTCAGTAGGCTCTGTAGGTTGTTCATGATGAAAACTGAGCACACAGATTGTTTTCTTGTCTGATGCTTGTTTATCACAAGGGCACCAACTGGTTAATTGCCCAACATCAACTGAACGTCCTCTGCGCGCTGAAAAACAGGCAAGGCTACTATTGTCAGTATCAGTACCCGTAGTGGATGAAGCAACAGGTTCTGTTGTTCGGACATGAACATACGGGCAGTACCAACGTCTACCTCCACCATCAGCATATGTAACACCTGGAATTGGATAATCACTCCAGTCCAGTAAACAACCCTCCATGGCCGGGCGGAAGCCAGGAAACACTTCAATATCTGCTCTTTTAATGGTATTTCCATTATTACTGCTGTTGTTCTTTGTTTTCCATACTCTTTCAAGTGTTTTTACATGCCAACACCGAAGCTATGAAAGAGAATAAACATTAATTAATTAGTGGTCTGAAAACACAAATATCTCACATTCAATCTAAAACATTCAAGTAATTTGTAATATAAGTCAAATTTACCAAGTTTACAGGTGTGTCAATATTTTAAAAATAAAGAGTTTAACTTAAAATAATAATTCATAATTAATTTATACCTAGCATTTTTATAGTTTCCAATTTATTTTAATACATATATTTCTTTAATGTTACAGTAAATTAAAAACTTCTTTATTTAAAAAATGATACAACTTTGTTATAAATGGAATTTAGAACTATAAAAGATTGTCATATTGTATTAACTCTAAACCTGAAACTTCTGAATAAAAAAGTCTAATTTTTGAAAATATGTACAAAAAATACCAGGATCTGAAATTTTTGACAGATCTATAAGAATTAATTGACATAAACTGGGGGGGAAGAGGTCTTAGGTTTTCCTGGATTAAACCTAAATTGCAAATTATGCACAAAAGAAAGCAAGAAAATTGAATTAAAAGAGAGCATCAAATATAAATAAATTAATATCAATAAAATAATTTTAAAAACTATTTTCTATATATATATATTTTTTTAATCTGATTTTAAATGCAAATTTAAACTTAGAATCAAACTATGGGAAAAAATTGATAAATTACTTCAAGAAAAGTCAAACACTACGTATATAAATCTAATATAAATTATTCTCTTTCTTCTTCATTAATTACTACTGTTTTAAGCTATATATTTTTATGGGGGGATTTAAAATAAGAAGTCATTTTAGAATTTAAAGAGGAAAAAACACTTTTTTTTAAAAGTAGCGTACCTGTCCGAAAAGTGTTTGCCTGTCCTGGGGGGAGAGAGCAGGATTCAATGCAGCAAGCCTCCATAAAATCACCACCTCATCACATAAGCTGCTACATGCATGCTGAGATGCATGCGAGTTCGTATGTACATTACCACGGCCACCATGCCCACCTGAGCCCATGTGTAGAGAAACTTTGGTGTTGAACCACCAAGTGAGTATCTAGAAATAAATGAAACATTTTAGGAAATATTGACCTTCTATATAAAACTACCTATACTCTTTTCCATATTTCTTTGAAGTTTTCAATACATATAATACAGCTATGAAAATTGTAAAAAATACTGTTATGTTCTTCAATTAAAAAAATGCTAAGTTTAAAATAAGACCTCTAAAATCTAATAAATATTAGTGACACAAATGATAATTTTTTATTCAAATGTAAAAGTTTCTGCATTATGAAATTTAAAAATAACCAAAAAAACTTTGATTAAACAGGAGAATTTTATTTTTTATACTTTTATTTTGTAGAACAAAAATAATGTCTAATGACATATAATTCAGAATTAACTGTAATATATGATATACTGCTTAGTTACTTATTTTGCATGCATTCACTTCACTTCCATACAAAGCTATGATGTTAAAATTCAAACCCAAAACTAAAATAATGACAATGCAACGGTAAAGTAAGGTGGAGAGAAAGATATAAAAAATAGTGAAATTTTTTTAACATTGAAGAACTTTTTTATAAACATACATTGAAACAATTGATATTAACAAAATTGCATATTCATCAGATAAATTATTTTCAAAATATTTTTTACGCTTTTAAATTGAAGCAAAAAATAAATAAATAAAAAGTATAAATAAATAACTGCACTGTTTTCAAATGCTCTTAGCTGTGAGGATTTCCTTAAAGTGAATCAATATACCACTTCAGTCAATACATTTCGCATATATGCGCAATTAACAACTATGAAAAATCACTAGAGCTGAAATTATGGATTCATTATAAAAAAAATCTGTACCTTTTAAACTCCTTTTTTTTTTGGGAGGGGGGGGATTTTCTCCCTTTGCATGCCAGAAAAATCTCAACAAATGCTATTCTTAACAATATAGTCCCATTTGCGTATATCGCAAACAAAACCAGTTACAAAGCTTAGCAAAAAGGTTAAAATTTAACCCTTTCATGCCGACTGCATCACAGCTATGCTGCCATGAAATGCAGTTATTTCCCGGCTTGGACACTGATGCGACAGACTGTTTTCTCATTCACCCCTGCCCATCACACATTCATATGAGAGTTTTGGAATGATTCAGAAACTAACATTTTTTGCACAAGATGGCATTACATGTCCATAGGATTTGAAATATGTGTACATTTGACCGTTTACTCGAAATGAGACAAAAATGAGGTCACACTGATTATATAAAAATATGATGAAAGGTATGTTCTAGACTCACAGGCTTCCTGATGGTTCTTTGAATGTATGTGTGGTATTTATTGATGAATGGTATAAATAATTTTTTGCTAGACCATTGAGTCTTTCTTCAAACGCATATGTGGCATTTATTGATAAATGTAATGGAGGAATTTTTTTTGGGGGGGGGGCTAAAGTTTTGAGTATTTGGGTCTGCAGCCCAGTTTTTAATTAAGCATTATATTTGAAAAAGAGGGAACAAATAAACTCTTTGCACACTTTTATCACATAAATTCAAAATTAATTTTTTTAAAGACAGCAGACTATGCCTCCAAATGTAAAAATTTGTCTAAAATAAAATAATTTTCAGAGATTCACAATCTGATCTGTATATAATAACAATAAAAAGTGTTACTATGTATGTAGAAAAAGTTAAATAATTTTTATTAACAAAATAAATCCACTTTTTCAACCAAAAAATGTTACTATACAATGCACTTTTGCTGAAAAATTCATTTACATAGAAAGGTATAACAAAAATTGCTGATAAATTTGCTACTATGTATAATTTTCTATGAATCAAAATTTTATTTCTTCATATCCAAACCTCTGCATGTATGAGAATTCAACCGTAGTTTAAGTAACAAAGTAATATGCACAATGTGGTAAAAAAAAATCAAGCATGCTTGATGCTAATCAAATGTTGCTATAAAAATTTACTAAAATATTTATGCTGTTTAAATTTTCTTTTTCTTTATTGCAATTATCTTCTGTTGGAAATTCAATTTTGTAATATGGGAGAGAATTTCTTCATATAATAATGACTCCAACAAATAAATTTAAAATATTTACTTTAGAAATAAACTAAAAAAATCATACAGAACATAAGATTAGAAATGGGATAGATTGCATATATTTATGCCATAGGAGCTCCAGAGTCACTGTGTAGATAGTTATCTTTTTGTTTATCACCAACAATGGCACAGTACAAGTTCAAAACTTGAGGAGAGCAAAGCCCCCTACTATTCTCAAAATAAAGAGGGTTAATAGTTTTTTTTTGGGGGGGAGGGGGTCCAATCTAGATTTATTCATGTTAAATTCTATCTGGTGCACATAGAAAAACTGGTGGACACAGGAAAAGAAATAGACAAAGACAAATAATTATACATAAAATTCAATAGGGATAGTAATTCTAAGAGGTTTTCTTCAGCAATAAAAGGAATTTGCATTTTAACTTTCTTGATCTAAGAGGTATAACCAATGGGAAGTTCTTTGTTGCAAGTGCATCAGCAATACAATGCTAAAAAAATAAAGCATTCGCCATTATAACATTAGGAAATTAAATCACCAACATATGAATCTCTCTCACCAATATAAGAATTATCCAAAGAACTGTGCAAGGGCTAAATTAGGCTATTTTGTTTCTCGTGTCAGTTTAGATCACTTTTGTTTCTTAAAACTAATTACAAACTATTTCTCAAGATATAACATAGATTAAAAGAAATTTTTATTTGAAAATATCCATTGTAATAATGCAGTAATTTCTGACGCATTTAAAAATTTTCAAAACTCAATATTTAAAGAAAATAATTTAGAAATGCAATTCATAAGATAAGTACATCTTACATGAAAGTTACTCACCTGATCACATTGTAACACTTCTTCCGTTATGATCTCCAATAGCGGAATGGCATTTCGGTCACTTCGATGAAACATTTCCCGTACTATGGATAGCAAATTCCACAGTCCTTCAGGTTCCCGCCCTCTTAGAGGTCTTAAGAGACTAGCCCATTCTGCTGCAGCAGGAGGTGCAGTGGATGACAAATAATTTACATCACTAAATACAATAGGAGATGGTACACATAACTTTATGAGAATTTTCCTAATATTATCATGCAATGTTGATCCGTCAAGACACCACGTTGTCTGTTCGTTGATGGATGCTCCAGCTGTTGGATCTGTGTGTATAAAAGTTAAAATCTATAGAACTATGAAAATTTTATATTAAAAATAAACTTCAGCTAACTTTCTAATAACAGTAAATTTTATTATACATTGAAATATGAACTCAAATTCCCATAAACTTGATATATTTAAAGTTTTTCTAGGCCATATATAAAACAACATAAATCACAAGAGTGTATATGAATACTATAATGTAAATAATGATATGGCATACAAGTACACATAATAATAAAAATTGTGATTTTACATAAAACTTTTTCTTTAAATATGTAAGTTGTAAACTTCTTTAAGTTTGATGTTAATAAATTAAACATTTCTAATGCAACCGAGAAAATTCATCTATTAAAAGACAGGTACAATCTTCTTTACCCTAAAGCAAAAAATCTGGTATGATCAAACTGAAATGATGAAATAGACTAAAAAGAAAAAAATATTGCATTCGTTGAATCCATGAAGTATTCCCCACCTCCATACAAACTTATCTAAAAATAAGGTGATCCTTAGAATTTCTCGTATCTTAGTGTTGTAATTTCTGAATTATTAACTATTTTTTGACATAATAAATTTTTCCAAATTGCTAATCTAAACAGAAGTATTATTACTGTTAATAAAATGAAATACATTATTAAAGAATCTGCTAGATATATTTTAGCATTTAATTTCACTCATTTTAATTTTTTAGAATGAAAATCGTTTCCTCTGTTCATGGGATTGAAATTAAAGGAATGATAATACTTTGAAGTGATTGTATTTAGAATCAAGGTAACACAGTAAGAAGCAGCGGATATAGAGAGAAGACTGCAGTCTCTCTATCATTGCAGAATTTTATGACAATGAAATTTTTTATTTTGTATGCAAAGTAATACATTAAAAATCAAAGTATATAGATTCCAGGGTTAGAGAAATATTACGTACACAAGGTACATAAATAGACCCAAATGTTTCCAACATGATATAGCTCTAAAAGAGAGAGAGAAAATTTTAATAGTTTATTTTCAACATAATCTCCTTGTACATCAACATATTTTCTACATTATTTACTGAGCAAATATATGTTCCTGAAAAAGTTAACTGGAAAGTTTGGCCTCAAAATGTTCTACAACTGCGTTTCTCATGACATCATCATCAATAAATCCCTTTCTGCAAATCACATTTCAAGTTGAAGAACAATTTGAATAATCACCTGAGGTAAAAGTCTGAGCTGCATGAGCAATGGCCAAGCTCCTAAAATCCGCACTGCTGCTTTTAAATTGCCCTTTCAATTTGCTAATTTGGAACTACAAAGTCATATTACCCATCTTGTGTCATGGTATCTATCTTGAAACTATGTTCAAACAGATGAACAAAAGATCAAAAGATGTTCAAACAGAATTCACAAAACAGTTGTTTTAGATAGAGCCAATCTTACTACTATCACCTCAAATTTAATCTTTCATGACTAAATATTTTCTGACAACTTTCATGAGAATGATCTATGGATTCTTGACCACATGCAAAATTGTTTTACCCATTCTTTCATTGTAGGACAAAAAGGTTTGGTTTATTTTATTATGTCAAAACATGCTAGGGCTATCTGCTTAAGGGAAGGATTGTTTTCTATGGGAAACTGGGTTGTATTCACCTTACACATTGGGGGAAAACCATGAAAACAAACATCCATTCAGCTGCCTGTTTGCCTGGAATTGAACCCATTACCAGCACTGATTGCACTGTCATTCGGCCACTGGTGGGCACATAAAAAGAAATAGACAAATAATTATACATAAAATTCAAGCATTGCTTCACTGTTTTGGAATTAAGACTTTCTTTAGTCAAAAATTTAATGAGAGAATGACATTCAGTTTTAAACATTTCAGAACAATCTAGCACACCACTTAACTCAGTAAACATGGAAAAAAAAAAAAAAAAATTAATGGAAAGCTGTCTATTTCAAATGGCCAACAGAGGTTTAATGAGTAGACTTACTGTTCTCTCAATATCCCCTTCCACCAAAAAAAAAAAAAAAAAAAAAAAAAAAAAAGTTACATAATATAAATAATATTTATTCATGTTTGTATTCAATTTCTATTCATAGCTATTTTATGCAATACAGGACTATGATATGGGAAATAGCAAACATAATCCTTCAAATGAGTAGTAATATTTTAGGTGAACATAAGATCTATAAAAGAATAGCCAAGTGTACTTGATAATTTGAAGGTACACCTTGCACCAAAGAGAAAAAAAAAAAAAAAAAACTGCACAGATTTATATCTCTCATTCTACTGGACTGATTGTCGAAGTTTTAGGATTAATTTATTAGATTTATACATAGCATTGTTCTAACATAGGTATTTTGATACAAAAGCGAGCTTTTTCCGAAATAACAGACAATAAAAAATCGTACAATCAGTTTTTAAAAAATTAGATCTCAAAATTTTAGTTCCTCCGTGTTAAATGAATTTGGTATACAGTGGTGGCCAAAATTGTGGACATTTTTGGAAAATTTTATGTTTTTGAACTTTGTATGCTTATAGAAAATGTTACATTTCGCAAAATGCAAACTTGTATATATCATTTTAAAGAGAATTTATTAATGAATTCAATGAAAAACACAAAATTCAATTATTTTGAATACAAAAAAAAGAAAAAAAGTTATATGTAAAATTAAATAAAAAACACATTTATTAAGTGGTTTGTAATGTCTAGCTTTCCTGGCCAATCACTGTTATTGTTCTGAGAACCAGTCAAATGTACTGCCAGTAGAAGCTGACATCATGTTTACACTTGAAACAATTCATTATTTTGCTTTGTTCTGTAGAAGGAGGACCTGTTTCTTATACACTGCAATTACAAGTAGGAATTTTTGTAAAAAATTTTAGTATTTTAGTCAAGAAGCAATGACATCAAATAAAGAGTAGATTGGACACCTAGAAAGAGATGTAATATTATTGAGTTTACGAGAAAGTGGTCTTTCCTATGCTGAAATTGCAAGACAGGGGGGTGGTTCAGTGACTACTACATCTGGAGTCCCGAAAGTTTTTTTGTTTACGATATCAGGAGACAAATTCAATAAAACACAAAGAAGGAAAAGGCCGAAAAGGTGCACCACATCTATTGATGACAGAAGAATAAAAGACTATGTCTCCAAGATAGAAAAATGTCATCAGCGGCCATCAGAATGATCTGAATGATTGGGCGTTTCTGTCAGTTTCAAGAACAATCAGGAGAAGATTAACAGATGTTGGACTGAGAGGTAGAATTCCACGAAAAAGCCTCATCTTAATTTTCAGCAACGAAAAAAAACTACAATGGGCGAAAGGAACACATAATTGGACAGATGATCTGGTCACAAGTTATATGGAGTGATGAAACTAAGATATCGTTATTCGGTAGTGATGGGCGAAAATATGTAAGACGTAGAATAGGGAAGAGCTACATCCTGACTGCATTCAAGCAACTGTGAAGAACCAGTTAGTGTTATGATTTGGTCATGCTGTCAGCAGATGGTATTGGTCGCCTTCATGTCATCGATGGGACACTGATGCCAGAAATACATCGACACTATTCTAAAACCAAACTTCTACCTTCCATCAGAGATCTCTTTCCCAACAATGCTTCGTTTATTTTTCAGCAGGATTCTGCTCCTTGCCACAACGGCCAAAATCTAAGAGTGGTTTCGTACAAAGAGCATTAAATTGTTGTCATGGCCAGGAAACAATCCTGAACCTTAATCCTATCGAAACCTGTGGCACCGTTTGAAAACTCTTGTCCGAATGAGGCGCCCCATCAAATAAAGGGAACTAATTGAGGCTATAATTGTTTTCCTGGCACCATGTAATAACGAAAGAAGAGCTTAAAACTCTTGTCACTCAATGAAACGTTGATGGTGAAGCTGTAATCAAAAATAAAGGGTACCCTACAAGTACTGATAACTCACTGCAATCATCACTATCTAATGTATATCGATAACTATTATCGTTTAAACTTTTTTTGTATTGCAAATAATTGAATTTTGTGTTTTTGTATTGAATTCAGTAATAAATTCTCTTTAAAATGATATATACAAGTTTGCATTTTGTGAAACGTAATGTTTTCTATAAGCATACAAAGTTCAAAAACATAAAAATTTCCAAAAGTGTCCACAATTTTGGCCACCACTGTATATTTATTAATATCTTTTTTTTGTTGTTAAACTTACTTGATTCTTTCTTTCACATTTTGAAATTTAGGTTCATTCCAAATAAAATTCGCCTACCTTTTATGATTTATTTTTAAATAAGTTTTATGAATTTTTCAAAGAGAAATTTGAATTATAATTTATAAAATTTTTATCATCTTAAAGTAGATGTATTTCTAGTGCCAAAAATTAGAGTTTCTTATTCAAAATTTTATAAGGTATACGTGAATTTATATATTGGCACTTTTTAAAATTTGGCATATTTGTTATAAGCAATAACAACACCGAATCTGGTTTATGCACCGTGTTAAAATCATATGAAAGCATGAATGTTGATCTTTTTCCTGTTCGTGTACAATGAAAAAAAGGAAAGGAAAATAAGTTGCTATGAATTAAGAAGTTCTCCAAGTAAATTTTTCTTGGTACAAACTGGAAAAAGTGCAGCAAGATAAATTTTTAAATATTTCTATAAATTTTTAAATTTTTCAACAAAAATTACAAAACTTAATATCTAGACATAGTTTGACCTGTAGAATCAAAATATGGGGGAAAAAATTGGTATGTTATTTCAGAAAAAGTCAGATTTTGTGTCAAAATACCTATGTTAGAAGAAGGCTATGTATAAATCTAATATATGTTCTACGTTGCGCTTTTGAGACATGGAAGACGCAAGTTAAATTTCGAAAATCGGTCCAGTAGGACGGAAGATATAGAACTGTTCCCTTTACTTTGTGCATGGTGTACTGTTTAGGATTGAATGTCTTTCAGTTTCTTTTCATGCCTATATTAAATTTTCCCATCATAATAATCGGTACATCTATATCAAACTCTTCATTAACAAGCAATCTTGATTCTGAGTCCCTCATAAGTTCACTAAAGAGAAACAATTTTAAATTGACAGTATTAACTAACAGATGAATGTCTACAGATGTCAATATAAAATGCAACTGTTCGTTAACTGTAATATCGATCACACATATATCATTGGCCTTATTTCTTCTGTCCTTCTTCCACAGTTTAAAGTAAACTGAACTGGATTACAGTTGGCAATGCTGTTTAGATTCCTTACAGAGGAGCCACATTACTGATTTGTTTTTTTTTGGGGGGGGCCTGTTTTCAGAACAACTTTTCAATGTAGTGTACATAAACGCTTTCAGTTCAAAACCCTCCACTTGAATAGGTTCATCCTCATAAAATCAGACTGCTTTATTATTTCATCTGGTATAAAACTCTTATAATGTGCAACCAAATTTTGAACATTTAAGTTAGTGATTAGAAACTGCTCGCACAACACAGCAATGAGTTTATCATTCTTAATTACTGTAGTCAAATTTTTCATAACCTACTGCAAACACTTCAAACATAATTGAACTCATTGGTCCATAAAATGTTTTGTAAAATATTTTGTACCTTGTTCAATCTAAATACTTTCATCGTCATTCATGAATATATTATCCTGTGTGATCAATCTGAGGTATGCCTAAATCTGATGATAATGTACAGGATAAATTTGAAATTGTGGTCCCTTCATCTATTTGAAAATAATTTGTGATGCTGAAATTCTTTCACTTTTTCTTTTCATAGAAGCATTTTGGTCAATCTTTGTGCAACTTATTTGCTCCATCGCTCTTTTTTTCTTCACTTATCTGAACAGCTGCTAGCTCTCTTCTCCATTTCAACAAAATTTTCATTGACTCATTTTAAAATTTCATTAATTTCAATGAAACAAAATTCACAAACTGCAAAACCATTCAGGACTGCGTTGCAGTCGCCAGTAGATGAGAATGCACTTAAATGGGAATGCACAGCTACTCAATGTTAACGCACACAGGATATGCTGTCCATCAAAATTTCCATGATTGTTGCTAACTAACTGTCACTTCACTATGGCTTAACTATAATGCTAAATTCTAATTTTTTTTTTTTTTTTTTTTTTTTTTTTTTTTTTTTTTTTTTTTTTTTTTTTTTTTTTTTTTTTTGTAGTGTACACCTTCCAAGCAAAATATAAACCAACTCTCTATGATTTGTAGTTGCAAAGTTCTAAGCATTTCCGTAATCCACAAAAACATCAGAATTTTTTCTCTCCACAGATCACCATGGAAGAAAGCAAATCTATGTTAAAATGCATACGATTTCTGTAATAAAACTTCCAAATTTATTCTACAGTACAAAGTCCGTAATCCGGATGTCCATTATCCGGGATGATCTATAATCCGGACCTCAAAGCCACAAACTAATGCATGCGCGTAATGCATTTACGCATGTGCGTTTGATGCGCGCGTCCGCTACGCATGTACTTAAAGCCAGTAAAGCGTTTACCCATGCGTGCTTCTGATAGTGAAGAAAGTAACAGAGAACGTTATTGAAAACGAAAAAATTTTGATTGACAAATTAGTCAGTATTCTCGACACAGCAATTACAGGACTTGAACAGTGGAACTTTGTAACTGAACAAGAAATTATGTCTGTTTACAGAATTAAAGAGAAAGTATTAGCACAAAAACACGAAGCACTTAAACAACTACATTGATAGAAATGTTACTAAAGTAACAAACAAATATTAAGCTTTTTTGTGGTATGTTTTTTGATACCCTTCAATCATAACTGCTCTTAATTTCATAAATTACAGTTTCATATTTTTAATTGTATAATTTCTGCATGCTATCTTACCAGATTTAAATTGATGATCTATAATCCGGAATCGCCCCGACGAGTCCAGATTATGGACTTTGTACTGTAGAACTATTTGCCACTGCATATCTACAACACATGCTTATTGCAAAGAAAAATTTTATGCGAGGCCAAAAAACTTTTGGAACTATACATATAACTTTATAAATATTTGAATAGCTTTCCTTTATATTAACGTTATTAAAATTTACTGCCAGATTTTTTACTAATTATGCCCTGCTTTTAAACTGATTTATTTTGCTTCACATTGATAAGTAATGTATTGTTGTAATATGAAAGATAAATAAAAGATCTGATGTTGAATGGATTGATAACAATTCCTTTTTTGTTAAGACAAAAACTACTTCACAAAATGAAAACATCACAATTTTTTTAAGCATTAAAAATGAGGCAGACAATGTAATAATAATTACAGGCCTGTTACTGAAACACGGTAAACTATATACAACTAATTATATATTGTAAAAGACATACCAATTATCTCTACGATTCAACCTTATTGTCAAATGGAAAATTTAAAAGTAAACACGATAAAATGAAAATGGCTAGCAAAATAGAACATTTTCTTTCTTTAATACTTTTATTACAAAGTGGAAACATGCTAATTATGAAATAAATTTCCTTACAGGAGCTTAAAATTTTTATAATGATAAGAATGAAGTGAAATGTATATAAAATCTGTTTTAACATATATAATGTTTTCTCACTTACCCGGAGCACCACCTAAAGTATTGATTGCTGTCTGTTGACTTGATAAAAGTTCATCTAAAAGACGCTGAGCTGTGGGTAATATCTGAAAACAGCAAATAAAATTAGAGAGAAATTTACAAAAGTGTTTCAGCACATGGGTAATATATAAAATATCAAATAAAATTAGCCAGAAATAAATTAAGTTTTTCAAAACTTTCATGTTCATTTGCATAGATAACTTACACAAATATTTAAAATCTAAATATTTACAATAAAACCTTCAAAGAATCGCACACATCAAAACCACAAATCTGTAAAATTACTGCTTAAAAAAGGTTATAGACTTTTATAAAATAATTCTTTTACAGAAATCTTTCCCTTTGGCATAGTATGAATACTGGAAAATGATCTAGGAAATGCATCAAAGTGAAAACATCCAAAAATACAAATTACCGAGTTACTGAAATTGTAAACGCAAAAACTTTTATTTTCCATACTTAAATATTAAATTCATCTATCAGAATGTAACACGTTTTTTTCAACCTTAACTTTAAAAGAAAGAGGAAGAAGATTAAAATACTCAGGAAGAGTAATATAATATATATAGTACCTACCACTTATTAAAATCTCTTCCATTCCAAATACATTTAGTTTAATAATTTATTGAGCTAAGTTTAATAAACAGCGATTTATGTAATGCAAATAGTGATATCAATTGTAAACTTTTCAAGTAAAATAATAATTAATAACTATTTCATTAACTAATCCTAAAATACTGATTAAAAATTAATGGCAAAATTAAACTATTTATACTGTTTCAAAATTTATTTTTTAATTTTTTATAAAAATATTTTTATACTTACATTCTTGATGAAATTTATTCCCTTCCAAACAAATATCCTATCTGTGTATGTTTCATACTGTTCAACGTCAAATTTTGCATTCTTAATTTTGTAAAGCTGCTATTAGCACCATTCATAAAATCTTCATAACTTCCCTCCCTCATATCTGAAATATTAGCTATAGTTTGAAATTCCTCTAAGGCTTGTTTTATCTAAAAGCCCCATTTTGGAAAACAGCTTTTAACCGATTTTAAAAGTTTTAAAAGTTAGCCTCAGAGGTGTGTGCTGCATAGTTATTTAATTTGCAATGTTAGTTCCCCCCCCCGTCCCATTTACAAAGAAAATCAGTAAAACCCTATTTGCCATCTATGAGTTCTTGTCATGGTAAAGGTAAATTCTTCACTTCTAAACATCGATGTTTTCCGCTTCTCTCAATAACCAGTACTCTCTTCTTAAATCATGGATCCACATTCACATTAATAACACAGCAACCTAATCCTTCAGTTTCTTAAACCAGCTGCTGTTTTCCTTTCAAATATTCATGTAAGTTCTGGTATACAATCCAATTTTATCTGTATTTATAAGTTTCATGTAGCTTGCATTCATTAAAAAGCCCAAGTAAAATGTGTTTTATCCAATCATCAGATGCCTCATGATTTGTATCTTCCTTCTCACCATGTAGTTTCTGATGAATTATCACTTCCATTTTACCATAACATTTGGATTGTTAATGTATGGTAAAGGTTAAGAAGCAGTTCATGAGCATTTTTAATAACTGTCTGTAAACACAATGTATCTATCCCAAAGTGGAAATTTTGAATGCAGAAACCTTAAAAAATGGGATACAAAAGTTGCACATTCACACATCCTACCATTAAGTATTCGAGAAAGAACCCTCACTCATTTACAATGCTTTTACAGGTTGTTTTTGTTAGCCTTAAGGAAATCCTGCCCCTCTGAAGTCCAGAGCAGACAAAGAACTCTGAAAACAATCTTTCACAAATAGAGGAACTGAGGGATATGAACTACAAAAAGCTTTGATAGCCACAAGTATGGTATTCTAGCACTGAAGAATTAGTCTTATCTGAGCTTTTTAAGAAGCAGAGATGAGTTTAATACATAGCACTTTTTTTAATATATATTCGCCCTGGTTCCAAGAAATTTAAGCACAATGAGCAGCTGAGTATATTAACCAGTGAGCTTAATAAGTGGCAGGCATATTAAAAAAATATGATTTATCTTTTCTCCATATCCCACAGAAAAGACTTCTGTCTATACTTTCTACATAACATAAATAAAAAAACTCAGCTAGCTAAGAATTCAGGACTTGGATCTAATAAACAGTTTTTGCCCATTAACATAAAATATACGAGGTGTATTCGGAAACTAAGTACCGTTTTGAAAAAAAAAAAAAAAATAGTAAAACAATTTTTTCGAATCCAATTTTATTTTTACATGAAAATACATGTCTTAAACTATTTTTCAACATAGTTTTCCGCCAATGATCAAACACTTGTCATAGCGGGTGACCAGTTTTTTGTATACCATCGTCAAAGAAACTTCCCGCCAGTTTTTCGATAACCACGACTCCACAGCATTTTTTCGTGTCATCGTCAGATCCAAAGCGCTTGCCACCAAGCTCGCGCTTCATGTGCAGGAACAAGTGATAGTCGGACGGCGCCAAGTCCGGGCTGTACGGCGGGTGATCGAACTGTTCCCAATGAAACTGTCGAATTAACGATTGAGTGACACCAGCAGTATGGGGCCGAGCATTGTCATGGAGCAACACAATTCCTTTACTGAGCATTCCTCTTCGTTTGTTTTGAATGGCACGCCTTAGTTTTGTTAAAGTCTCACAATATCGTGCCGCATTAATGGTTTCACCTCTGGGAAGAAATTCAGTAAGCAAAACGCCTTTCCTATCCCAGAAGACAGTGCACATGATTTTTTGTGATGACATTGTCACTTTGAACTTTTGTTTTTTCGGAGAATGAGTGTGTCTCCACTCCATCGATTGTTGTTTCGATTCTGGTGTGAAATGACACACCCAAGTTTCATCACCTGTCACAATTTGGTTTAAAAAGTTTTCTCCCTCATCACTGTACCGCGTGAGAAATGTCAGGGCACTACCAAGTCGCTTTGTTTTGTGAACATCAGTGAGCATTTTTGGAACCCATCGGGAACACAGTTTGCGATAATTCAAGCGGTCAGACACAATTTCGAACAAAACAGTACGTGAAATTTGTGGAAATGCCTCTGAAAGAGTTGTCATTGTGAAGCGTCTGTTCTCATGAATTGCTTCATCAACTTTCCTTACCAAATCATCGGTGACAACAGAAGGCCGACCACTCCGAGCCTCGGCGTGGACATTTGTTCGACCTGCATTAAACATTCTTACCCACTTTCTCACCATTCCATCACTTATCGCGTATTCACCGTAAACTTCTGTCACTTGACGATAAATTTCGGCCGGTTTAACATTCCTCGCGTTCAAAAATTTAATCACGGTACGAATCTCACAGTCAGCGGGAGAACTAATTGTCTTAAACATTTTGAATGTGCACAGCAAACTGAAAACACAACATACAGCAACCAATATGGCGACAATTGAAAGCCAGGGAACAAGAAAGTCTAGTGCACATGCACGGGACGCCTACCACAGCGCTGCGACGGCGCTAGAATGAAACGGTACTTAGTTTCCGAATATGCTACATACCAAGACCTTCTTTACCACAAAAGATTTTAAATATGTACATGTCAATTTAATAAAAGAAACCATGGAAAGATGTTTAAACATTCCATAATATCTTTTAACAGCATTCTTAATTAAAGTAGCTATTAATTCAGTTGTTTAGCTTGTTATTTATTAATCTCTCAGTAACGGTGTAAGACTTTTTTATACTCACATATTAAAAGATTTTTTTTTATTTCCCATATAATTTATACGTTCATAAGTCATGGTTCAGTCAAAATATCAATAGAAATTCACTACAATACACAGGCATTAGGTTTAAGTTAAAGGACGAAAAGAAACAGCAACAGAAGTATCAAATAAAAATGAAAACTAAAAATAATATTTGAAAAGTGAAATTAAATTGCATAGAAGATTATGTAGTGGAATGTTTACAGCTAGAAGACTGAAGAAGAAACTTACTTGTTGTGGTAGTTCACTAATTAGGTACTGAGCAAATTTTTGAAGTTGCACTCGGTGCAGACGAGACAAAGATTCAGATACTGGAGCTCTAAGACGTACATGATTTGGCTGGGGTAAAAAAAAAAAAAAAAAAAAAATATATATATATATATATATATAAGCAAAGCAATAATAAAAATTTAGATAGTACTATGACTTACTTTTCCAAGGTATGGAAAAACCAATACTTTATCGAAAATTACTCACTTGATGAATTCTGGACAAACAAACAGCAACAACATGTGAACACCATGATGCACTACTAGTGCAAGTACACGTGCAAGATGTGATACGACAACGATCAAATGTGACAGCAACATTACAGGTGCCTTTGGAGATTGGTAGCGTTTGTGGAGGTGAAATAGTGGCACTAAGATGAAATCCTGTACAATATTTAAAAAAAAAAAAAGCTACATTAAAAGCTACATTAATTTTAACAAGAAATTAAGGAAAAATAGACAAATAATTTTCACATGGCACTGAAAAACAAACAGTTTTAACATTCATTTATTAATCTTATTATCATTAAAATCTGATTTCACTGACTTATCACATTTATATGTTAGAAATTTAATTACTTACATGACTTGCAGTTTTATTTGGTCATACTTTCATCACATTCTGCATCGCACACTTACATATACAGTGGATGGACAAAAATATGGAAACACCTTGTAAAATGCATGTTTGAAAAGAAAGATTGATTTTAATGAAATATGTAAGTGGCGCTGGCGTTTTTGACTACTGACGCCACCTATACAACTTCGTAAATGTGCTAAACAGTTCAGTTGTTGTCGGAGTACTGTTATGTGAGGTTGTCATTGCATTATGTCAGAGTTAACAGACTTCGAACGTGGGCAAATTGTTGGAGCACGTATGGTAGGTGCTTCCGTAAGCAAGGCAGCCGAGGTGTTTAGTGTTTCAAGAGGTACTGTATCGAAGATTTATTCTGCATATTTGAAAAGCGGAAAAAACATCATCTGCTAAATCACAGCGCGGACGAAAGTGGTCCTGAGTGATCGTGACAGACAATCATTAAGGGCAATTGTGATGAAAAATAAGAAGACCACAGCTGCAAAAGTTACTGCTGAAATGAATGTTGCGTTACCGAACCCTGTGAGTACCAAAACAATTAGAAGGGAGCTTCATAAACAGAGAATTGCTGGCCGTGCCGCAATTGAGAAGCCACTCATCAGTGATGCTAATGCCCATAACAGGAAAAGGTGGTGTTTAAGTCATAAAGCCTGGACTATAGAGCAGTGGAAGCGAGTAATATGGTCTGACGAGTCTTCTTTCACATTGTTTCCTACTTCTGGCCGAGTTTACGTCTGGAGAACGCCATCTCAAGCCTATAATACAGACTGCTTGTTGACAAGAGTGAAACATGGCGGGGGTTCTGTTATGGTTTGGGCAGCCATATCGTGGTTCTCTGCTAGTCCCATGATAACTGTTTCAGGGCACATGACTGCCAAGACTTATGTGAACATCTTGGCCGATCAAGTTCATCCCATGGTACAAACTTTGTTCCCCGATGGTGATGGTGTCTTCCAAGACGACAAAGCCCCTGTTCACACAGCTCACATTGTGCAGGACTGGTTTTATGAGCACGAGTTGTCCCATCTCCCCTGGCCACCACAGTCACCAGACCTGAATATTATCGAACCTTTGTGGTCTACATTAGAACGGAAAGTGTGTTCTCGTTATCCACCACCAATATCGTTATCTGAACTTGCCACCGTTTTGCAGGAAGAATGGTATAATATTCCCTTGGCAAACATACAGGAACTGTATTTATCCATTCCGAGAAGACTGCAAGCTGTTTTGGATGCCAACGGGTTTCCTACACGATATTAAGCACAGAAACGTGTTTTTTTAAAGGTGTTTCCATATTTTTGTCCAACCCCTGTATATATTTTTACGTTAACATTAGGAAATGCATATTGCATGATCAAGAATACATATGCTTTGACAAAATTAACATAACAGAAAATACCAACTCCTCCCCCAAAAAAGAAAAGAAACAAGGGGGGGGGGAAGTACCAATCGTGCAACACTTTTTAGGTTCTTCAAAAAATGATCTATTAAATAAAAATTTGTGGTATTTTAATAAAAATTTGTGGTATTTTAATAAAAATTTGTGGTATTTTAATAAAAATTCATATTTCAAAGGTAAATTCTATGGTATGATAATTTTAGAACATTTATTTTAAGTTAGTGTTTCAAAATAATAAGTTGACATATAATGAAATACTTGATAGTTATTTTAGATGTTTAAAAATACATTGATGGCAAAAATTACCCTCATGTGCATACAATCACTGATTTCATAAACAAATAAAATTCAGTGAATTTATTTGGTGCATAATATGTAAATGCAAACTAAAAAATATAATATAAATCCATATGAAACAACACTAAATTGTGAAACAAATGTAGGCCTTTAATACCAAAGGAGAATTTGATCTTCTTTAATTTATAATAAACCACAATGCAATTTTATGTTCTCTATAATGTGGGTAATAAGGTGGCTCTATAAGGTGGCATGAGACAGTTGCAATAGTTCCTGGACAGATCCTTTAACACATTCAAATCAAGAAATTTTACTGGCTAGTTTATGCACACACTAATTTCAAGAAATTCATCAACCAAATTTGCTAAATCGAACCCTTTAAAATAAAATCAGATCCAAATGCACTTGTAAAAACCATTACATAAGATTTTAAGACGTCATTTCAATTACCTTATTACCACACATTTCTCTTTATGTAACAATTATTACATCATCTCAGTCTCCCAGTAAAAGGTTAATGAAAAATTTATTGAGTTGAATTTCAATACAACCAATTTGATATTCAATTTTTTTTTTATTATCAGCACCAAATACAGAAATTATGAAAGTATGTGTGTATATAAGTGTGTCTACATACATACATACAAACAAACTTACCTAATTTCTGCACCCACTCCTAATAACAGAAAAGTATCTGTAAAATCCCTTCAACATGGAAAGAATATTAATAAAGACCTTTTATTCCTGGTAAGCCATAATCAACACTTACTTTTAACTTACAACAAAATGGACAACATCATTAAAGAAAAGGATTGTGTATTCATAACGAAAATGAGGAAAAAATGCCATTTTGATATAGATGACATTGAAACTGATCTGGACAGTATTATGACCCAAATGATATAAAACTGTCATACATAATCTCACTTATGATATAAAATTGTCATTACACAAGATTTTCAGTCTGATGTTGAAGATGAGGATTACCAACAGAATAATTTACCTTCAGCTATTAATGTGAAAGCAGCTGTGCACTTAACATATTTTGATGCACAATAACAGTGCAATAAGACATGATTGACTCACTGTTATATACAAGTGAAAAAAAAAAGCAGAGGCAGTTTATTTGTAGTTTAAATTATTTTGGAAAGGAAAAAAAAAATATATATATATATAAATATTTCTTGTTACTTAAAGGAATAAAATTATTTTTGATACACATATAATGCAAATCTCATAACTGGTAATAAAATGTTAAATGATTATGCAATTTTTAAACAAAACTAAATATATAAATATAGCAAATATATAAATGCAAAGGCCAGATATAATGAACTCTCACTCAGTCGTCAGCACCATAATTGTCTGTTTGCATTTAAATAATCCTTTTTGCTTAAGTATGTTTCTTTACTAACATAAATATGCTTCACATAAAAAATATAAAAATAGAACCTAAATAGCAAATAATAACATACCAATCTGAAGAAGTTCTTTAACCGCACGGGCTTTATACAGATGTTCTCCTCTTGAAAACTCATCTGCTGACCCATTAGCTAAGCATGAATATAACCTAGAGAAATGGAATTGTTAATATAAATTACATGATTGTATAAAAAAAATTGCAGCATAAAAGAAATGCAACTTTGAAGGTACAACTCAGGAGTGAAAAGCAAGAATATTAAATGAAAACACTTAAATATATATATATTATTTATCAAAAAGTTAAAATTTTTAATTTCCCATTTTAAAACATTATTTTCCTCCTAAAATCATTAACGTGAAATAATTCTTTCACAAAAGCACGATGCCTCTAAAAACACTATTTTACGTGAATGAAACTTTGCATGAAAATGTCTTCAAACTAAATAAGCAACAATAAAAAGTCACAGGCAATACCTAAATAAAGGCTTACCACAGTACATGGAAACCGAGCTTCAAAAAGAATGTAACAAGGGCAAAACCTACATATATAAATGAATCCACAGACTGCTGACAAAAGCATGATACCTCTAAAAACACTATTTTACGTGAATGAAACTTTGCATGCAAATGTCTTCAAACTAAATAAGCAACAATAAAAAATCACAGGCAATACCTAAATAAAGGCTCACCACAGTACATGGAAACCGAGCTTCAAAAAGAATGTAACAAGGGCAAAACCTACATATATAAATGAATTCACAGACTACCTCTACCTCAGTAGCTGGACACTCTGTTATTTAAGCAACTATCAGTAATGGCTGAACCCATCAGTCATCTCAACATTGAGAATGTTGCCCAAAGTGCACACTACAAGAGGCAACTGATTTTACACCTACGATAAAAAGGAAGGTTCACTGCAATTTTGATGAAGGGGACACCATCGGGAACAAATCCAAAGATTCTCATCCCTTTTTTCTTACCACCAACATCTCCAAGAGGATGTTCAGCTAAGGATTATTTTAAATACCTCCATACTGGAAGGTAAACTCATCTGAATGCCACCCTGCATTATACTCTGGACAGTGTCTGGTGACAAAACTGGCATGGATGGAAAGTTAAATGTTAACATCATGTTTGGAAGTGCCACCTATCATCACACAATGTATAAGGCAGGCTTTTACATACTCGGATTATACTTTCTAAGGAAATAAAATTTTTCCTTGGACATTAAAAATAATTAATTGTATTCTGCCTCTAAGGACATAAACCTAATATGAATCAAAGGAGTTAAATACGTCCATCCAATAATAGCTCAAGATGAAATCACAGTACCAGCAAGAACAGAACTTTTACTACATGGATCTCTAGTTGAAAACAGAAATTTCCATATTTCCAGGCATAATGGAATATCCCAACAACTGAAACACAGAGACATGGAAATTAAGTACTTTTAAGGATCATTAATGAAAAAAATTAAAGACCTATGAGCAAACGGGAACTGAATAAAATACTGAATAAACTGAATAAAATACTGAACTGAATAAAAATATTATATCTATGCCTGAACTTCACTTTTTAATACCATCCTAAAAATAAAAGAGATCCATAAGTAGGATGCATTATTATTATACATAACTTAATTAACCTAATTATTAATAAGTTTGGGAATAAAATAAATATTATGAAATTTATCAAGTAGCGTTAAATATTGTTATGTTATTTTTTCTCTTGCTTTATGTTGGTATGGGGTTCGTGCGGATTTGGAGTGAATAATGACAGCACTACTTGATGAAGTATCAAAACATACTTTATTGGCCAGTATTATTCAAGACAGCTCAAGTCACGTTTTACAGTCATCGAAGATCTACTACAAACACGCTGGAACAATCAGCAACACAGCCTCCAGGCAATCAGATTACAACAGTGGAGACAGCTTCACGGCAAAGCACCAGAGTACAGCTCCTGACTTTGCTCGGTTGTTCTCGGAACTTCACATACTCTCAAGATTCTCCACGCTACAACTCAGGATACACAAGAGTACAGCTCCAGACTCCTCAATTCAGTCTTTCTCGGAGCTCAAAACACCCTCTCAACGATGCACTAACCGCGAAACACTAAGAGACTCTTTCGGTGCACTCAAAGACCAACTCGGCACTCGCAGACCGACTTGCTCAATGACTGACTATCAACTCATTAGACTCCGCACGGACTAACTAAATACTGACGAGACACTAATTAATTACTAACTGACTCCGTGTACCATGAGGATTTATATAGCTTTTGGCTGGTGTTCGAGAACATTCTGGGCTAAACTGGTAAGAATTCTTTCCAGAAGGTTCTCCATCCGTCTAATGCATATAGCCAATTTTGTTGCCAAATGGACGATTTCTTGCCCAATGTGGCAGCCCTGCCTTCCCTTGTCATTTTATGGCAACCCTAAACCTGCTTCGCGGGGAAGCTATCTTACCACGCCTTGACATTCGTAACAATATTTTACACTTATAATAACTGGACATATTTGAAAGAAGATAAGTAACATTTTAGTTACGTTTTACTAACAGTTAGCTTTTTTTTTTTTTTTTTTTTTTTTTTTTTGTATGTCTCATTTTGTCACATATTTGCTCAATCTAGAGGTTTAGTAAATAGTAAGTAGATTTTATGTCAAGCAGCATGGGTTAAAATGAGCAGTAAAATCATAATCAGCATGATTCATAACAAAAGACTGGCTGTTGTCACCACTCCTGCTTGCCTAAAGAGAGACCTGCTGATCAGAACAAACCTGAAAGGCCTGATGTAGGCACAGTTAAACAAAGTTTGCAGAGTTAGCTGAGCTCTGTCTGACGCAGTTAGTGTCACAGCTTAGTGTAGAGTTCCAGGGGTTGTAACTCAGTAAATATACTTTAAGGTTCTAATAAGTCACTAAAGCACCAGATGTGATAAGTTGTTTTGCATTAAGTCTCACTAGATGCGAAGAATAAGTTTTACATGTGTTTTTACATTTTTGTGTTTTATCTTGTGACCTAGAGTAAGGGTTAATGAAAGGCAATAACTCGCTTTAATATGCAGAGATAATTTTTAAGGGCAAGCAGTTAGTTCTAAGTAATTAAATTAAGTACAGTCAAAAGTCGTTAATTCAGACATCCATAGTTCGGAATGATCTATAATCCGGACCTCAAAGCTACAAACTTTCTGCGCATGCATCGTGTTGACGCATAAAAACATAAAGGTGATAAGACCTTTATGGCTGCGAATATGCGTGTGCGCATGCGCAAAATACGTTTACACATGCGTGTTTAATGTATAATAGACGGTATAAGCTAAGCTAAAATTATCTAATTATCTGTTTCAGTTAATGTTGCAGATTGCGTTGTTCCTTAATCTTCGAATTGGATCCGGCTTATTATTTTTTGCAGACTGTTAGAGCAATTTTATAAAAGTAAGCTTGAACTTTCGATTATGTCAAATAGAATTTCCGATTTATATTTACTAATATGTAACGGATCTACAAAGCGAAAGTATGTTTCGGAGTCCATTAAACAAAAAGTGGAATTGCTGCAAAAAAATGGATAAAGGCATATCCTTTGTTTATCTAAACATTAACGTTTGATTATCTAAACTTTGTTTATCTTTAACGCTGCGCGCAATGAAATGGAAGTTGATCTGTCAGCACTATCCTTATCTTCAGGGCATATGTTTTTATTTTATTTGGCTTATAATTGCTTACTAAATGTAGTATTTCATTTCGATATACTCCATCTTTGATAAAATTTAAATCAAATGCCTCATCATTATAATTCGCTTCTGATAGCAAAGAAAGTAACAGAGGTTATTGAAAATGAAAAAATTTTCATTGACAAATTAGTCGGTATTCTCGACACAGCAATTATAGGACTTGAACAGCAGAACTTTGTAACTGAACAAGAAATTATGTATGTTTATAGAATTAAAGAGAATGTATTATCACATAAAAAACGAAGCAACTTAAACAACTTACATTGAAAGAAATGTTTAAAGTAAACAAATAAATATTAAGCTTTTTTTTTTTTTGTAAATTTTGATACGCTTTAGATCCTAATTGTTCTTTATTTCGTAAATTACGGTTTCATGTTTTTAATTTTATAATTTCTTCATGCCATTTTACCAGATTTAAACTGATGATCTATAATCCGGAAAAATCGATAATCCGGAATTGCCGAAGTCTGGACGAGTCCGGATTAAAGACTTTTGACTGTATAAGATAACCTTAGTCATTATGGATTTACATGGCCACTATTAAATTTTATGTTGTTAAAAAAGGCCCTACTAAAATCTCAATCTAGTAAAATTTCACAGTTTAAAATATATGCAATTCATGAGAATGATTTTTAAACAATATTAGGATAATTACACATTAAAAGCTACAAAACAAAATAATTATGCATCTTTTTAATTTGAAGGCCTAGACCATTTGGCTAATTTATATAGATTTCCTTCTCCTTAAGCATCTTTACTAGCAATTAGAAATTTGTCTCAATAGGAAAAACAATGTTCTCATTCGTTTGTACGTATTTTATCTCCTAACTGTCATCCTCTTCACAAAGAGGGTCCACTATGAGGGTTCTTGATCTGATAAAGTTAAATAGTCCGAAGACCCCTCCCCCAGGACATACGTGAAACAAATTATCACTATGCCTGAAAGAGAGATTTACATAAGCTTCTTCTTTAAAAAGAACTTAGAACATAAAGGCATGTTCTTATGCTAACAAAATCAATTACAACTCGTGGTGATGTAATTAAACAAGACGAGTCAAATTCAAACTAAAAATATGGACTAGTGGTCAAAGATTATGCAATTTAATTTCAATTTAATATGGTTCAGTAACTCTATCGTCATAATAAACTGAAATGTAGGCAGTGGTAATGAAAAGACTAATAATTACAAATTATCAGAGTGACAGGAACTAATGCAGGGAGCAAGTGGATATCAGAAACACACACTTGTCTTAAGACTCCCAAAAACTTCAGTTTAAAAACTGTCTAAGTGGTTTGCATTCTGATGAGGAAATAGAAATGTGAAATTATACAAAGGTTGAAATTGTAAACAACTGAGTAATTTACATAATAATAACTGTACATATCTTTGAAGAATGATATTCTTTCTCTTCACATATTTAATTCCTTTATTTAACACATTTCTTTCCACTTTAAAATTTTTGGATTTAATTAAAGATTTCTGTTATTCTAAAAAACTAAATGCATTTAGAATGCATGGAAAAAGCTGCTAATTTTATTTCTTTAGTAACACAAAAATTCAGAACAAAATATGAAATACATATAGTAAGGGCTGGTGTGTCATAATTTTTAGAATTTAGTGACACACCGAGCAACAAAATCTAGAAAAGGCAAAACTTTTAGAAGTTAGAGCAGGCATTGGAAGCAGAATTTAGAAAGGCACCAGGCAGTAGAATTTAGGATCCACAGAAACTGCAGGTGGCCAAATGCCTGGTGTATTTAATTATGGCAAAGCACACGAGGGCTATGTGTCTAAGGGGAGGGATGCCTTCGTGGAGGACTTTCTAAGGGAAACTGTCTCGTATACACGTTACACATGGGGAAAACCATGAAAACACCCATGAAGCCAGCCCGTTCTCAGAATTTGAACTTCAGACTGAACTACCAGTCTTCAGCGACTTTACCACTCGGCCGCTGGTGGGCTGACCAAATGCTTAGCGCCAGCCCTTGTATGATGCATTAAGATATAATAGATGAATCTTTTGAATTGTCAGTTTTCAATTTCTTTATTAATAAAAAAATTCTTTCTATAATGCCTGTCCATATGATAAGATTAGAAGCATTTTTGATATTTCCCATGCTTGTGTCAAATGAAAAGTAGAAAAAATAAAGGGAAGAAAAAATGTCAAGAAAGCGACTGTAGTATCAGAAGTGAAACATTCAACTATTATGTTTTCATTGTTCTTCCAGTAAGTTCTCCAAAAAGTAAGAAATTGCATGTTACTACCATGGAGACATTTTTCATTTTGTCACATTTTTCTGGAATCTTTTAGAATCGTGGGTCTATAAATTTACCTTCAAATCTTTCTAAACTTTCCAAGCTGCAATGTCTAAAATCCTAAAGAAAAATTACCCCTACCAATTCTGCAACAGCGAAAAGCCAGAAATGTTTTGGAAAAAAAAAAAAAAATCGGTGGAAAAGAGTGTGAAATTAATTTTATTGAGAAAAACTATGCATATTCTGAGAATTCTGAGAAATTGGGAAACTCTCTTACCATGAAAAAATTAAAAAGACATTTTTAATTAATTACATAGCTATTTTGCTTTTGCTGAAAACTGTTCTGTAAATTGTGCTTTATAGCATTATACCTTGCTTATTTTTCAGATTCAAAATATTGTATATCATGTGGACCAAATGGAACTTTATAATATGATAGTGAAAAATAAAAATGCTTTATTTTAATGTTATTTCTTAAATATAATTCCAATATATTACCATTATTTTAATGAAATTTATTAATGTTAGAATGTTCTAAAAAAATCGTCAAAAAATTCCCAGATCTCGGAATTAAAAATTTTCTATAGAAACCGATCTTAAAATCGACAAAATGTTGATAAGTCACCAAATTTATAACCGTTTAATAAAAGAATTCACATCCCCAAAAGCGAAAAGTTATTTGAGAGCTTTTCATTACAAAAAATGAAATAATTTCGAAATGCTTATGTTTCGCTTCTTGTTCAGAAACTCAAGTATCCCATCATTTACAAATAGGAACAAATTATAACCCATGAACTCATTCAAAAAATGACCATATTTGTCAGTGAATCGCCAAAAACATTCCTGGAAAATGCTAATTCACACTCAAAATGGCAGTCATAAAAACAGACAGAAATTTCAGATGATTAAAATTAAGGACCTTTTGCCGATTGTGGCCGAAATTAAGGACTTGGAGGAACTAACCAAAAATTGATTCCAAAAAACTTAAGGACTTTTAAGGACTCTTAAGGACAGTATGAACCCTGGTGACAGCAATGCCACAAATTTTGTACATATGTAAATAATTTAGTGAAATTATACGTAAACTGCAGTATCTCCTGTATAACACACCATAAAAAGCGTCAGGAATGCGAACCGCTTGCTAGAAAAACAAGGTTGCTGGAGACAGCTCATTTAACATTGAAGTAAATGGCTATTTTGCCAAACTGGTAAGATAATGCTAAGCAATCATTGATTATGTCGTTAAATTTTTCACCATACTTGGCAAAAAATCACCAAAAGTCGCCAAACCTGCCAATATTTTGGTTCATGGAACTGGTCCCGTCCTACACAACTCCAGTTGATGACCAGTTGTGTAGGCCTTACGGCAATTTTAAAAAACCAAAGATACTGGAATTTTCTCAACAAACAGAGCAAAACTTTGCATGACCAGACAGTGAATCAGCATTCAGTTTAGTTTATAGTTTAGCTCAGAGTACTGAGAGGTTATTGTGTGAGCTTATACATTTGTAGTTTTCTGCATTGCGTTTGTACTCAACGTTCTAGTTGTTCTGACAAAGCAGAACCAGTAGTATTACTGATTGTGCTCTGCCATACTTAAAAGAGCTGCACAAATACTTTTGTATGAAAGGTTCCAGAACTGCAAGACATTTTTTGGAAAATTAATTTCATCAAGCTATCATCCATTGAATGCATTCAATCTACACTGCCCTCCAAAAGTTAAAGAACAGCATGTTTTACAAAGCTCACCATTGCAAAAATGTTAGTAACATTTAAATTCACAGTTCATATGCATGAAAGGAATGAAGTTTAAGAAAACATATGCAAAAACAATAGCTACCATTTGTATTTTATAGAAATGAATACTTATACAGGAGTTGGTGGAAAAAATGCAAAATTTGTAATTTTTGTTCACATGTGTTCATCTTCAGTTGTTATTACAGTTCATAGACAATATCCAGGAGAGTCTAACAAAATCCAGGAGAAGTCGTTTGCTCGATTTGTTGAGGTGGCAGGTGATCAGATGGATGGAAACAGGGATGTCACAAGCTGTGCTGCAAGACATCTCATGTAGTGTGGTCCACCAACTACTAAATCAGTTTGAATCCGAGAATTCTGTGTCTAGAAGACATGTGCCAGGCACATCTAGACTTACAACACCTGTGAATTATTTAGAGCATTATTTAGAGTTAAATAATGTGATCTAGACTTACAACACATTATTTAGCTCTTTCGGCCCATAGGAGGAGTAACGTTACTGTGCCTCAGCTCATGGCAGATCATTTAGTGGCTACAGGAACAAGAATCTCAGCTACTACAGTGCACAGACGCCTGCACAATACAGGTCAGTATGCAAGATGACCAGTTGTTTTTGTCCCCCTGACCCGAGGACACAGAGGTGCCCATTTATTTTGGGCAAGAGAATACATCCCCTGGACCAATCAACAATGGGTATCTGTTCTCTTCATAGACGAGTCCAGGTTCACACTGGAGAGTGACTCAGGTCATCAGCTGATCTGGGGGAACAATGCAGCAGATACAACCAATTCCACATTGTGGAAAGATACAGTTAAAGAGGTGGTGAAATAATGGTTTGAGATGGGATCTGTCTTGGTGGTAACATTGACCTACATGTGTTTCATGGAGGAACTTTGATGGTGTGAGATATCGAGACGAGATCCTTGATCAATGTGTCTGCCCATATGCCGCTGCTATTGGTGCTGGATTTCTTCTGAAAACAACAATGCAAATGCGTAACCGCACCAAGCTCGGGCTGCTGAAGAATATCTTGAGGGTCACGGTATGGGGCGGATGGAATGGCCAGCTTAATCCCCAGACCTGAATCCAACACAGCATCATTGGGACTACCTTGGGAGACAGGTTGCTGCTGTAAGTACTACTCCAAGGTTGCTAGATGAGCTTGAACAAGGATTACTCCATGTCTGGTCATTGCTTCCCATGTCACTGACTGACAAATGTAACGTTGCTGCCAAGGTATTGCAGCTAGGGACGGACACATTATTAGAAAAAATTTTTGTAATGTTACCATACCATTTTTCCTCAAGAAATTGTGATATACTGTTTCTCCAAAACTGGATTTCTCTGCCATGAGTGCAATTTTTTGTCGTAATTCATGTTTGTGTTGAACTTTAAAAAGATTCTATGTCACATTCATTAAAGAATTGTTCAGTGAACATGTCGTGTTAATTTCTTGTTTCTATGTCGCCTCATTCTCACAAAAAACATGCTGTTCCTTAACTTTTGGAGGGCAGTGCATTATGAAACAATACAAATGTAACAACACATTAAAATTTCTCAAGAACTCTTAAGAACTTATACCTTGGAAAAATACCTTTTACAAAAATGGAAATCTTCGAAATACAGCATATAATCTTTGGAAAAAAAAATTCACCCAAGAAAATAAAAAGGATATAACAGAATTTATATTCTATTGGTTATATTAAAAGGGTTGATAAATGTCATACCGAATATCCTCTTCATTTTCAGGAAAACTCCAAAAGGCAATCCGAAGCTGTAGCTGTTCAGGAACAGGAGGACACACATGTTCAACAACTTCAAATGGAATATGGAAAGCAACAACTCTAGCTGACAGTTCAACCAATGACAGTACCAGCCCATCTAAGAAATAACAATAATTTATAAAGAATCATTGTTGGGAGATGAAATAAAAACACCTTAATAACTTTTTTTTAAAATTAACACATATAAATAAGGTATAAGATACTACATGCTCTGCAGTCAAGAATCCTGAATTTCAGACTTTAAAAATATTTTTAAAAACAAATAGCTCCAAATTTAAAATGTATCTTTAAAGATCTTTTCATGATAGCATTTAAAATAAAATTATGCTTGGGATAGATTTGCCTCCAATTAACATACTTAAAACAACCATCCATGGTTCCAGAAGGTTTTGATTCTCTATGGAAGCGGTCACCATAATTTTTAAGTTGAAGTTCAAGACCTGTTTTATTTGCGATCTTCACTCTCACAGGTATTAATTAGTATGTATGAAAAGTTAATATCATGTAATTTTTCAGTGTATTAAAAAACTTAATTTCCTCATATTTTCAAAAAGAAATTAAGCACAATGATACTTTCCTCATATTTTCAAAAAGAAATTAAGCGCAATGATACTGATCAGTTGACCTGAATTACATAATTTTAGTGTATTTTAGGCATTAAAATTCAAAGCCTGAAATAAAATAAAAATCCAGTAGCCCATGATCAACATATCCATCAGTTACAAAATTAACAAAATTAATGCAATCTAAAACAAATCACATAATATACACTGCGCAAAAAAAAAAGGGGGGAACAGTTTAACATCTCCTGTTCTGCTGGGCCGATTGACAAAATTCAAATTGCATTTTTCCTGTCTCGAAAGCGCAACTTAGGATAGATATTAGATTTATATATAGCACTGTTCTAACATAGATATTTTGACACAAAATCAAACTTTTTCTGAAATGACATGCCCGTTTTTTTCCATATTTCAATTCTACAACTTAAATTATGCCAAATTGCCAAGTTTTATAAAAATTGTACGAGCAGTTTTTAAAGAATTAGCTTTCAAAATTTTAGCTCCTGAGTGTTAATTGAATTTGATATATACTTATTAATATCTCTTTTTTTTAATTAAACCTTTTTTTTATTCTTCCTTTCATATTCCAAAATTTAGGTTCAATCCAAATAAAATTCGCCGATTTTTTATGGTTTATTTTAAATTTGTAATTTAAAATAATTTTTATAAATTTTTCGAAAAATATTTTGAGTTATAACTTATAAAAGTTTTGCCATCATCTTAAAATATATGTATTTCTAAGCACACCTGAAAAAAAAAATAGAAGTTTTTATTCAAAATTTCCTAAGATATACATGAATTTACATTTTGGCACGTTTTGAAATTTGCGATTATTTCTTATATAAGCAATAATAACGAAAATGTGTTAAACTTTGTTAAAATTATCGGAATGTATGAAACGATGTCTTTTTTCCGCTCGTGGACAATGAAAAAAAGGAAAGGAAAATAGGTTGCTATATGCTAAGAAGTTTGCCAAATGAATCATTCTTGACTCAAATTTTAAAAAATGTGCCAAGATAATTTTTTTAATTTCACCACAAATTTCTCGCCAAAAATTAAAAAATATAATATCTAGGCATAATTTGAGTCGTAGAATCGAATTATGGAAAAATATTGATATGTTATTTCAGGAAAAGTCCGATTTTGTGTCAAAATACCTATGTTACATCAATGCTATATATAAATCTGACATTCGAGCTTTTGAGACAAGTCGCGCTTTGAGAATTCGCCCATGTCGTGCTTTTGAGACATGAAAAACGCAATTTGAATTTTGTCAATCTGCCCAGTAGAACGGGAGATCTAGAACTGTCTCCCACTTTTTTTTTGTGCAGTGTACATTAAAGCTGCAGAAACTAAACATAATAAAGTTTATTCAACACAAAACCAAATTTCAACAGACCTTAACTACTATAAATGAATTTAACTGTATCACATGGTTACATATAAACAAAACAATAACAGACCAACCAATGAACAAAATATAATTAAATCCATTCAAACCTAACATAATATTATAAATTCAATCACTTAGTTAGACAGATTCTGAATGCAGTGTAATCTACTGCAAATGTCACTTCAATTATCTGGTAAGGCAAAACATCTGAAATATAGTGTCAAGGCAAAATTATCTAATAGCAATTTCACATAGAGTAACATCTGTATCGGCCTGGAAACATGGTGACAGTGATGAATTTATATACCACAAAGAGAATGCACTTGATTCTTATGACCACTTATGCTCAGAAACTAGGATAACCTGTCAGTATCTAACATTATTTAAGATGACACACAATACTAAACATTACCTTGCTGCAGACCAACAGATGATGGTTCTGTAGAGCACTAAGCTATAATACATGATGAGACATTCTGACATGTCTGCATTTATGAATGTTTGATCATTCATAGATGCATTTACATTAGTTCAAAGTCGTTTACAACTAAGTTCTACACAAATATTAAAAAATTTGAAAGGTAATATAACAACTTGTGGCTGTCTTCTTTTAAGTTTTATTTAATTTCTGATATTCAAACACAGTGTGGACCCCTACTGGACAATAAAATACTACCAACACTTTGGCAGTAATTCAACATTATCAACTTTAGTTTGATTCAGTAATACATGTTTTTCATAAAATTAGAATATGACACTTAAAAGAAAATAAATCGATTTATTTAAATTCTATTCTAAAACAAATAATTGGACTGTGTCAATTTTGATCATGCCAAAAGAGAAGGGTACATTACCATTTTAACTTTACCCTGTAGTAGATGTATCTACAACATCTTAATTGTTTGTGGATCTGCAACATCTTATTTTGACAAATATAATGTTTATAAACACATTTAAGACTTTTTATATTTAATTAAATATGTAAGATAATAAGCAAGTCTTCATTACAACTTTAAATTTTATCCTTCATATCCTAAAAATGGTAGCATGCTTATAACTAATCTTGCTAAAACACATTATTCTTAAACTAATAGCTATTATACAACACTTATATAACATTAATGAAGCATACACTTACATAAAACATAAAGTAAAAAATCAATTCATATACCAATAATGTTTTCTTTCTTAAATTTAACCCTATTAGATAATTGTTATTAAAAAGCCCCTTCTAATTAACAAAAAATCATAACCATAAACTGAATGCTCTTTTTCATTGCTACTCCTTCGCTATACACCTACTCAGATATTCCTTTAAAATTTACCCATGTTAGGGGAGAAGAGAAACTCGTAGGAATGAAAAAAGAAATCATCAGAAATCATCTATTGCCCAAAAGTGCAGATCAAAAAATCTCATTTTCCATTACTCTGCAGCCAAAATTATTCAAAAATCATTTTCTGTTCGTGAAATCGATTTTCTTGAGGCATTAAACATTTATAAAAATCTTTGACTTCTGATAATAATCTCAATTCTTAGTAGAAATTATAAAATGAAAGATACGAAATAGTGATTTATGAAATAATGAAGCATTTATGACTTAAAGAGAATCAAAGTGTACAAAACAATTCAGTATTTATTTGCCTGTTTTATTAAACATTTCATTTAATGCAATTTGCTTAAGCTTTTTCATTTCTGTACTAATTTTATAGACCATAATTTTTTGGGACAGTTAGAAATTTCCAATGTTTAAGTCCTTAACTGCAAGTCGAAAATTCCCAAAGCTATCAATCGAAATCTTTTTGTTCTGAAAAATCTCTTTGTCACTTTTGTAGTGATATTTTCTGGATTTAAAACAGTACTACAGATTCCATGGTCTACTAGTTACCACAGATTTCACTATGTGCTAGGTGATTGTGCTATTGTCAAAATAATGGAAAACTTCTGTTATATCATTTTTATTTATTACCACTTCTCCACCATTTCTTCACAAAATCCATTAATTGGAAAATTTCACCTTCAACAGCATTCAAAATCTATGCCAATACAGTCAAAAGTCGTTAATTCGGACACATATAATTCGGAAAGATCTATAATCCGGACCTCAAAGCTACAAACGTTCTGTGCGTCGCGTTGACGCATGCGCTGTGATGGCTTTACGGCTGTGTATATGTGTGTGCGCATGTGCACAATACGTTTACCATGCGCATTTAATGTATAATGGATGGTATAAGCTAAGCTAAAATTATCTAATTCAGTTAATGTTGCAGATTGTGTTGTTCCTTAATCTTCGAATTGGATCCGGCTTATTATTTTTTGCAGACTGTTAGAGCAATTTTATAAAAGTTAAGCTTGAACTTTCGATTATGTCAAATAGAATTTCCGATATATATTTACTAATATGTAAAGGATCTACAAAGCGAAAGTATGTTTCGAAGTCCATCAAACAAAAAGTGGAATTGCTGCAAAAAACGGATAAAGGCATATCTTTCGTTTTTCTAACCATTCCGAAATCTGTGTATCAATTTCACACTGCTCTGCGAGGGTGGGGGAAAACGCCACGGCATGCAATGAACTGCAAGTTGATCTGTCAGCACTATCCTTATCTTCAGGCCAGATGTTTTTATTTTATTTGGCTTATAATTCCTTACAAAATGTAGTATTTCATCTTGATGTACTCTGATATGATTTAAATCAAGTTCCTCCTCATTATAATTTGCTTCCGATAGTGAAGAAAGTGACACAGAGGTTATTGAAAATGAAAAAATTTCGATTGACAAATTAGTCGGTATTCTCGTACAGAAATTATAGGACCTTGAACAGCGGAAATTTGTAACTGAAGAAGAAATTATGCCTGTTTATAGAATTAAAGAGAAAGTATTATCACATAAAACAAAGCAACTTAAACAACTTACATTGAAAGAAATGTTTAATAAAGTAAACAAAAAAATATTAAGCTTTTTTTTTTTTTTTTTGTGTGTGTGTGTGTAAATTTTGATATCCTTTAGATCATAATTTTTCTTTATTTTATAAATTACAGTTTCATATTTTTAATTTTACAATTTCTGCATGCCGTTGACAAATTAGTCGGTATTCTCGTACAGAAATTATAGGACCTTGACAGCGGAAATTTGTAACTGAGAAGA